GAACCTAGGAAATCATTCCTGTCCCTCGTTTTTTAGAGAGTATGTGTGTATGTGTGTGTGTATGTGTGTGTGTGTGTGTGTGTGTGTGTGTGTGTTGGTCCTGGGGATCAAACCCAGGGCTGCTCTACCATTAGCTACATGCCAGTCCTTTTCTTTTTTATTTTGAGACAAGGTTTCACTAAGTTGCTGAGGCTATCCTCAAACTAGCGATTCTCCTGACTCAGCCTCCCAGGTTGCTGGCTACAGCTGTGTGCCACTGTGCCCAGCGTAGATGTCTGTTTCCAGAGCCCTCATTCTCCCCCCTGGAGGCTCCCTTCTCCCCTTTAGCCAGCCTACCCCATGTCCATGGCATCTGCTTCGACACTCTTGTGCTCCTAGGAGATCCACAGGCTGGCATCGGTGGTCTAGACACACCTGCCCCAGAGGTGGAGAAGAGCAAAGATCACACTTCTCACAAAGCTTGACGAGGCCCAGGCCCAGCCAGGCTGAGGCCAACACCTTCTTTTACAAATGGAGAAACTGAGGCTCGGCAGGAAGACAAGACTTGCTCAACCCACAGTAAGAATGTGGTTTCTGTGCAGTCGGTGCCTTTTACACTGGTGGACAGTGAAGCCCAGACACTGCTTGTCCCTTCTGACCGATCTTGCCCACCCAGGCTGCTCACCAGGCCAGGGCCACAGGCGGTGCCCGGCAGAGTCAGGAGGGGTTGGGCCACGTCGTTGCCCAGGTCCAGGTGTACCCAGCTGCAGTTCAGTTGAGTCCCGTTGGCCTCCAGCGTCTCCCAGTGCAGCTCTTGGGCTAAGCCCAGGAGAGGCTGCGTCCTGCCCCCCTGGCACTGAAGCTGCCCACAAACGGCGTCTCTGAGGGTGGGAGAAAGGCAAGCCGGGTCAGGGAGTGGGGCGAAGGCACCCACAAACCCAGAGCAGGGGCCAGGTTTCCCCACTTACTGAGGGGTGCAGGGTATGTAGCTGCCATTGGCGCTTCGGCCACAGCTCCCATAAACGTTGCCCCGAGTATTGGCTGTTTGGAGGCAAAGTGGCGCAGCGGGCTGGGCCCCAGGTCCCCAGAGTGACTGGCACTGCTGGGCATAGGAGGCACAGCGCCCGTGGACACACACAGCCTGGCCACCAGCACAGGGCTCGCCGTCCCCCAGGCTGATGTCCGGGGGGCACTGGGAGCTGTCTCCTGGGCAGAACTCGGGCAAGTCACAGTCTCCTCTGCTAGGACGGCACTGCGAGCCGGCGGGGCGCAGCTGTGGAGGGCGGGTGAGCATCAGTGCAACTGGACAAATCCAGCCAGGCCTGGGGATCAGAAGGACCCTTTTACCTGCCCCCTGCAGGTGAGCTCTGGGTAGCCAGTCTACACCTGGCAGTTCTTTTATTTTTTAGTACTGGAGATTTCACCCAGAGGTGCTTTACCACCGAGCCACATCCCCAGCCCTTTTTATGTCTTATTTGGAAACGGGGCTTCTCTAAGTTGCAGAGGCTGACTTTGAACTCGTGATCCTCCTGCCTGAGCCTCCCGAGTGGCTGGGATTGTAGGCATGTGCCACTGTGTCCGGCTTACCTGGCAGTTCTGACAACAGAGTCCGTCAGAGGCACACTGTGCCCCTGGCCTCAGCTGGCAGGTGAAGTAATCACAACAGGGATCTGTGCAGTCCTGGGCGAGGGTACAGAGGGACCAAGCATCACAGCAGGCTGAGCCTGAGAGCCTACCCCCAACATCTCCCAGACAGCACACCCAGCAGCCTGCCCTAACCACCAGCAGGAGAGCTACCCGCGACCCAAGGCCTGATCCTGCAGACAGGGAAGTCCCTTCAGAACCACAGAGGAACTCAGAAGGCAGGGAGAGGGCTAAGGAGCCAGGGCGAGGGCGCAGAAGTGAGTGGGCAAGGCTTTGGGTGAGGGGCTCACATCCGGGAAGCCACAGTCACACTGCTCGCCAGGGTCCACAAACATATTTCCGCAGAAGGGGGCCATAGGGGGCAGGCTGGGCAGCCGTTCAAAGAGGCAGCTGCCCATCCCCTGCAGGAGGGCTTTCTCCAGGGCCTGCCGGCTGCAGTTGCTGAAGTTCAGGCCTGGCAGGAAGCTGGGGAGGGGCAAGGAAGGTTGGGGCGGAGGACCCTCCCGGCCTCCCCCTCCCCCTCCCCCTCCGCATCCTGTGGCCACTCACTCGGTGGAGGCCTCCATGATGCAGCTCTTTGCTGGGGCTGGACCTGGACAGGGGCAGCTGCTCCCAGGTGAATCGTGGCCCAGGCCCAGGCTGTGGCCCAACTCATGGGCTATGGAGGAGGCGACTCCCAGGATGCTTATGGAGTGGTCCTGCCAGTGGGAAGGGGGCACCCCAGGTCCAGCCCTAGCCTGGCTCCCACACAGTGCCCAGCCCGCCCTGACTGCTCCTGTCCTCGCTGCATGGGCCTCTTGGGCACTCAGTGGGCATGGTCCCCCTGTCCCCCTCCTTAATTCTTCTGAAGTTCAGGCATGGGTGACCGGAAACTGGGGTTCAGCTCTGCCCCCCTGGAGGTCACCTCTGTTCTTTGGGGCCCAACAATCCCTTGGCCTTCCCCCTAGAAATGGGAAGACCTCATAGGTGTGGGCTGTGCCTTGAAGTACTGGCCACAGGTGAGGGGCTGCTTTCCTGACAAGCAGAGGCTTCATCCTCCATGACTTTGAGGTTGGCCAACTTTGTAAGGGGGTCTCAGTGAATAATGGTTCATTATTATTTCAGTGAAAAATGGTTTCGTATTTGGGAAAAACTAAATTGGGAAAGCAGAAGAGACTTGTAAATAACTCACCATGTTCACACCTCCTGAGAAGTCGGGAGAACAGATGGAGTTCTGAATGGCCATGCCCACCATGGGCCCAGAGAAAGAAATATCACTGTGGAAGCAAGAGGTCAAGGGTCAGAGGCGATGCCAGGCACAGTGGTGCACGCCTGCAATCCCAACAGCTCAGGAGGCTGAGACGGGAGGGTCGCGAGTTCAAAGCCAGCCTCAGCAACAGCAAGGCATTAAGCAACTCAGTGAGACCCTGTCTCTAAATAAAATACAAAATAGGGCTGGGGGTGTGGCTCCGTGGTCGAGTGCCCCTGAGTTCAATCCCCGGTACCCACCCCCCACCAAAAAAATAATCAGAGACAGAAACCATGGGGGTCAGAGCTGCAGGACCTGAGGTGTCAAGCTAAAGGGTGTGACTTTGGCCAGGTACACACTGAGCATGGGGGCTTACGTCACTAGCTGGGCACTGTCATGGGGCAGTCGAGGCAGCAAGTCTGTCCGGCGCCAGTGGAGGAAGTTTTCCAGAGTGACAGCTGGGTTTGGGCTCATCTCTATCAGGTCGCGCTGGCTCCAGGCCTCCAGGCCCACCAGTACCACCCGGACGTTCAGGGGCCGGAAGAACTGGAGAAGAACTGAGGCTCAGAGGAGGTGTGCCACCGTCGGGGGCTGGGCGCTCCTGGCCAGCCCCGGACTCACCATGTCCAGCAGGAGGGCCACGTCCAGTGTGCGGTTCAGCAGGCGCTGGAAGTCGGGATACCTCCTGACCTGTGGCCACGAGAAATTACCGTGAAAGACGGCAGGTGGCCGGAGGGCAGGGGAGACCGCAGATGCCGGCAGGCTCACCTCTGAATGGTCGGCCACAATCACCAGCTCGACAATCTTGGTCTCTGTTACCACGTCCCGCTTGTGCTGTGGACAGAAAGGAGGGTGCCTCGGGTCAATCTACCGGTAGCCCCAGGGCCAACCAAGCTGTGCCCACTCCCATCTTGTGGTTCCACTGAAGGGGGCAAAGAACCCCGCAGAGCCACGGAGGACAGAGACTTGCCTAAAGTAGACCAAGAAGTCGATTAGGAAGATGGGAGTACAGCCCTGCTTTTGTAGCTCTAAACTCGGTGCTTTTTTTCAAAAAGACATTATTAAAAAACAAATATTAGCCAGATGCAGTAGCATATGCCTGTAATCCCAGCTACTCAGGAGGCTGAGGCAGGAGGATTGTAAGTTCAAGGCCAGCCTCAGCAACTTAGCAAGGCCCTAAGCAATTTAGGGAGACCCTGTATCTAAATAAAAGCCAAAAAGGATTGGGGATGTGGCTCAGTGGTAAAGTGTCCCTGGGCTCAATCCCCAGTACCACATAAATACATACATGCTGGCACTATAAATGCTATAAATACCGACTGTGTGGTAATACCATTTGCCAAGCATGGTGCTAAGCTATACATATATATGGAGATGGATGATAGACAGATTCATTTAATCTTCACAACAACTCTATAAAGCAAACATGTCAGGACCTGTTTTATGTTTTACTGCTGTCTGGTTGGTAACTGTGTATTTTCTATACCCAAGTGAGAGCTCTCTATAAATGGAACCGTGACGAGTGGGAAGTTTGAGTTGAACACCTGCTTCTGGATCCTGGTGAGACCATTTCTTAGTGGTGAGGCCTTGGGCAATCACCTAACCCCTCTGAACCAGTTTCCTCCTTTACAGTAGAGCTCTTGCGACCTCCTAAAGTTGCTGGGAAGAGTAAGTGAAGCACTGTTCACAAAGTGCCTGGCATGTGGAAAGGGCTCCATCAGTAGAGCTGCCTGGAACAGAACTCTGGGGGGCTGGGGTCAGCCCTGAAGATACCCGAAGCCCAAGCCCTCTGCCATTCCTCCTTACCCGGCGAATATGGCGTTGTCCCAGGGGCTGCCCTGGTGGAGCCTGAGTGGGCACAGGGGCATTCCGGCTCAGGGCACAGACGTGGCCTGGCAAGCGAAGGTCTTGGATCCGGGAGATAATGGGAGGACCCTGAATGTCCCCAGGCCCCAGCTCCAAGACATAACTTCTCTCTGGGGACAGGAGCACCAAGCCCCTAAGAAATGAAACAGAAGTGAGAGAAACTTTGAGCTCCAGGCCTGGTGTCCTCTTTCCTGTCAGGGACTCCAGCCACGGTACCTGAGGCCGGAGCAGGCGCACATGGAGACCCAGGAGCTGGTATGGCCTTGTACTCTGCCCTGATAGCAGCAGTTCTCCTGCAGCAGAGACACATCGGTGCCACTCTCAGGGAGGACAGCACGGAACACAGAGGTCTTGACTTATTAACCAAGATGTCCAGGCTGCCACCCTCCAGTGCTTCCCCCTCTTTCTCATCCAGGCCAGAAACAGGGCACAGGAGGACCTGACTCACCAGAGTGTGTCCCTCACTGACTACCCGAGTGCCATCGGGCTGATACCATGCCAGGGTTGGGCGACCTGGGACTAAGTCCCTGTGGAGTGAAGAAAAATGATGGCAGTGTCCAAGGTGACTCACAGGATGGTACAGTGACAAGCGGAGGCCTAAGGCAGTAGAGTGGGGACTGGAGGGCCAGGCAGTCCCCCTTCCCTGAGGGAGCAGAGTATAGGGGTTGGCCCCCTGATTCTCTCAGGGTATCTGGGTTCCTCTCTAGTTTGTTTGTTTTGGTACCAGGGATCAAACCCAGGACACTTAACCCCTGAGCCACATCCCCAGAACTTTTTTATATTTTTATTTAGAGACAGGGTCTTACTGAGTTGCTTAGGGCCTCGATAAGTTGCTGAGGCTGGTTTTGAACTTGCAATCCTCCTGCCACTGCCTCCCGAACTGCTAGGATTATAGTCGTGTACCACTGTTGTCAGTCCCAATCTAGTTTTTGACACATACTAGCTGCATGATCTTAGGCAAGTTGTTGTTGTTGTTGTTGTTGTTGTTATTATTATTATTAGGTACCAGGGATTGAACTCAGGGACTCTTAACCACTGAGTCCTTTTTTATATTTTATTTAGAGATAGGGTTACACTGAGTTGCTTAGCGCCCTGCTAAGTTGCTGAGGCTCACTTTGAACTCGTGATCCTCCTGCTTCAGCTTCCTGAGCCGCTGGGATTATAGGCTTGTGCCACCATGCCCGGCTTAGGCAAGTTATTTAACCTCTCTGTGCTTTGACTTCCTCATGTGTAAAATGAGGACAATACAGGGTGGTTTTGAGGACCCATGCGTGCAGACACTTAGTGTCTGGCACATGGTAAGTGCTGCACAAGTAGTTCCGTGTGATTATTATCATCCTGCCGGTTTACCTGTTCTGCAGCAGCTCCAGGATGTAACTGTCACCGTCCAGCTCCACTTTGATCTTCATGGACTTAGACAGACCAGTCTGTGGGTACCAGAAAACATGTCATCGTCTTAGCCCTTCCCAAGACGCCTACCATCTCTAGCCAGAAAACCTCAAGCCCTCAGGAGAGCACCAATGATTAGGTCACTGGTGGGGGGATCCCAAGGGAGGGACCAGGAAGCCCTGCCTGGCCTGGGGCATTGTTCTGGGGGGTTGCGTGGGGAGGTCAAGGAAGGTATCTAAGCCGCCCCTTCTCGGCTTCCTGCCCAGAGAGGAAGCATCACAGAGGACCCAGCACAGGCCTCAGCCCTTCCTCTGACTCAGCTTTAGAATGGAGGGGGGGGGGTGAAGCCCTTACCCTTTCCAAATCCCCCCACTGAGAAAACTGACAACATGAGACAAAATAAGCAAGTTTGGCTTCAGAAATTCCCTCAGGAGACGGTTGCATTGGGTGGAGCTGAGGCAGACAGATGTGCATAGAGGGAAAAAGGAGATAAGTGAAGCCAGGTGTTGGGGTGTGGTGGGGGAGGGAGTGGGACCTGCAGTGGACCTGCTACAATGAGGTCACTTACTGGCTCCCCAGCCAAGCCTTGGTCCAGAGACACCTGATGATGCTGGGGTCGGATGGGGTGTATGTTTGTTAGAGGATGCTCACCTGAAACACCTCTGCTAGGCCAATAGGGGCCTTGTCCTGAAGGATCTGGGGCTCCCAGGGCCCACTCGGGGCCCTCTCTGGTCTGGCCTGCTGTTCCTCCATAAAACCTGCAGGGTTTCCCAGGAGAGGGCTGAGGGAGTCCTTACCCAGACCCACCAGCTCCCAGCACACCAAGGCCCTCTGCGTCGGAAGGGCTGTCGCACTGCACAGCGGAACTTAGAGGAAAATAGTGGGGGGGAGGGCACCTCCTCTCCAGATGAGCGCTTGCCACCCACCAACCCATACACCAGTCCCAGAGAAAGAAGTTCAGCCTGTCCAGCCTGTGGCCCCTCCTTGTCCCCCTCTGGCCAATCCCTGGTTCTCCCAGGGACCCTCCCCTGTTCCCACTTCTTCCCCTACCCCCGCCACACACCACTGCCGTCCAGAACGCCCTCTTTGGACTAGGCGAAGCCTTGTGGCAGGATGCCCACTCGCCCTCCCCTTCCTTCACATGGGCAATGTCGGGAACGCCCATTTCTGGGTGAGCAGTGCAAACACCCTCGCCTCCCTGAACACCCCTCATGTCCAGTCTGACACACCCGCTCCCCACAGCCTCCGCTTCCTCCCGCAGCATCCCCCCTCCCAATGGCCCTCTGTCCTCCGGACACTCCACCCCCGCCTGCCCTCTCGGCCCCCGGCCCAAGACAGCAGTGGGAAGTGAAAGTTCCAAGGAGGAGTTGGTGTCCAGCCTCTTTCCTGGCCAGTGCTCCCCTCTCCTGGCTCCTCCCGGCCCCTCCCGCTCAGACTGGCTTCTGGTGGCCACAGCACCAGGGTGACGGGTGCCTGAAGCCCAGGCCTGGGATGAGGGACTGGTAAGGATCCTCTTTACTAAACCCCACGCACCGTGCCCACTCGTCAGCCCGGCACTGGGTGGAACTGTCAGCTAGGCCCCAGAAGAGCGACGACGTCAGTCCTGGGGAGGAGCGACCCTTTTCCATGATCCCCAGGGGGGCACTGGGACGGCCCCTCGGTGCCTGTATCTGAGTCTGAAAGTGTTCGCCGGGACATCGGGACATCGCCAAGGACGACCGGGCGGGGGACCCCAGCATCACTCCTCCTCTCTGTCCTCCATCGCCAAGTCACGGGGCCCTAGGCCCGGGACAGCCAACCAGGCAGGCCGCTCTCGGGCTGGTCTCTGCGCCTGACCCTAGC